ACGTCTCGAGAAAGAGAGTAAATATTCCAGCACACTCTTACCTACTGGAGCTTTGCCTAAACCGAGAAATAGCTATGTGGATTCAGCTGCAGGTATGTTATATGCTACATGTGTTAATACAAAAAAAGTCAACTACTAACTCGTTTTATTCACAAATACAAATAATTACATTACATCATTTTATTGTCTAATAATTTAGTGACACAAACGCTCTTGTAATTCGCGGTTTATACGAGTTCTACTCAAGGAGTTCACTTATCTTCCAATTATATGGATATTAAATGTGTCAACATGAGCACGTTTACTGTTAGCCTTCTTTTCCAGGGTAGACTATTTGAGTATATAATATAATAGTCATTATATAAATTTATGATCTGAATAAAATGCTTAACTACAGTTTAAGCTTCGTGCCAATTTCGCGTTTCCTAACATTGTTTGTATACCTCCCCAAAACGCCATGCCGTCGCAAAATTATCTTGCTCAACTCTTCATCGTGATTGCTTTCATTTGACAATGAATAATAGTATTTAACCACAATAGCTGTTTTACGACTAGAACACAAAATTCTGTAGATGATATTCCAAGCCTTTTTGAAATCTTCCGATTGAATAAAATGTCTGGTACTTTTGTAAGAACCAAAACCTTGATTCATTCCGCTGCTTATCGATTGTATCGATCCGTCGAAGTTCTATCACTGTTCCTTTAGTGATATTGTAGCCCCTAACGATGCAAGTTTAACAACGCAAATAAAACTATTCATGTCAAGACCACAAATGACGTTTGATTTGCCTACCCAAACTTTATCTAGTTCTATAATGAGAATGTTTGTTTGTAATCGCATACCGTTAATATTAACAAGTACTTATATTTGTCGGTAACGGAAGAACATTGCAGTATAGTAGTACTGGATCGTTAGAGCATGTAGAAAAAGTCGTAAAGTCGAGAATACCGTCTACGATAAAGTTTAAAATAAATCGGAATACAGCTTTTGTTGCATATAGTAATAATGTATCACCTTTGACCTTTCCATATTTGAAGACTCCGTGTAATAAACTTCTAACCAGTTTGTTGATTACTGTCAACTCTGGTTTATGTTGAAGTGCATGTTTAATCTAATTTTAAATGTTTATATTGTATTGAATTAATCGTACCTTCTGTTACTTAATCGCATCACGTAGGAATTGAGTCGATAATAATGTTTGCAATATTTAACAGCATAGCTGAAGTAAGGTGCTTGTAAATTTTGAAAACAATTTTCTAAAGGTTGTTCATTTCTAATATGTTATTTTTAGTAACAAGGTCTTGTAATTTTAATGTGGGGGCGTATTTATACATTTTGCAAGTTTTTGGAATATCTCAAATCTGGTCCCATCTAATATATTAATATCAATAAAAAATAGCCACTGTGACCAATTCCATTCTTTAAGTTATTTATGTACAAAGTAAAATTTATTCATCAGGTTGTAATATTTTTTAGTTTAACCATTGCTTTAAATACTGATAAATTGGCCTTTCATTTATAACAGTTGATTCTCTTGTGTATGAAACAATTTATTATTATTAAGAACCCCATCATAATCACACAAAAACGTGTTCTTCTACGCAATTACTTTAACATTAGTGTCTTCTGCCAGAAAAAAAAACGTTATTCTTCTAGTGTTTCCCTTTATTTTACACATTTCTCGTATATCCGTTCCAATTCTTCCACCCAAACCGGATTAAACTCAAAAGTGTGATTGTCACTAAAAGATTTGAAAGCGTCAAACTCTACCATTTTCTGAATCATGTCCGTAACGTAAAGTTTACACTGTTCCTCATCAAGGTCAAATTCCATCAACCTTGTCGTTTTACACAAATTGATCATCATCTTCTTCCTCAACGTTTTGTGCAAATGCGGTGAAAGCCATTTGATAAAGTAAACGGCTTTTTCGTCAAAACCTTTTTCCGTAAGAAACCCTTCAGCTTCCGGCAATTCTAGTATAGTGCTCAATGCAACGCCCGGGAATTTAACGCGCAATTGAAGAAAGTCCTTTTCGTCGAGTGTATCGATAAAATCTGCCGAGTCACCAAGATCGACTGGATCGCCACCAGGACCGGCTGAATCACTACCAGGACCGGCTGAATCACCAGGTTCGTCATTCTTGGCAAGAATTAACCGGCCATCGGATAGAAAATGCTTTATGGCAGTACCTATCGCTTGTCGACGTTCTAATGTCTCGGGTTTTGTCTTTTGCCAACGGCTATACGACGACTGTCCAGAATTAACCAACTTGCCTATCTTAGTTACCTGTTGTCAAGTGCAGATTTATCGTTAAACGCGATTCGAGCTTGATCAAACAGAAAGGAAAAGCAAGTCACTTGATCATTCAGAGCCTACCGTTCCTTTCATATTATGTCGCTTGAATATCGTATACAGTTCAGATTCTTCTTCTTCCAGAGTCATAGGATACCGTTCTTCCCAAGACTTGTAATTTGGATTTCGTTTGTCTACAAGCATATTCTCGTAAATCCGTAGAGCGACAAAAGCATCACACGCAACATATTGTACTATTTCGTCGTCCAGACAGACGGCATCAAAATCCCAATCTATGATCTTGTCCGTCTTGTTCAATTCCAGACCGTTGTCGGTAAACATGAGTGCCAGCTCGGCAAGTGATTTGGCATGGATTCCCTTTTCCTTTGCCATGCGATCGAGATCCACGATTCCGTTCATTTCGATACCATATGATTCTTTGAGCCATTTGGCATCTCCTCGAGCATTCACACCGACTTTTAAAATGTTGGGATCGTTGAGTAACTTTTGTAGGCCAGTGGGGAATATGGTTGCATCTCCTCGAGTTATTCGGTATACTTGGAACAAGAGACAAAACTCGGCTGTCGCAATTTGTATCATCGATACCACACGAGGATGTACTAATCTTTTCACAGTCGTCTCTGTATCAAAACCGACATAGGCGACTGGCCAAGTAGAATTACGTTGCAATACTCCAAAGCATGCCGCAACTACAATGCAAGATGCAATCGAGCTGCTAAGTATTCTCCTTTAACAGTTTATGGGTTGATGATTGCCTTCCCCTTTCGACCTCTACGACTCTGAATGTCTTTACCTGAAGATCTGGTTGCTATCTGATATACAGGCGGTTCAGTTTGAAATTTCGGTATTTTGGCCTTGTCCAATTCTTGCACGATTGAGCTAATCTTTTTCGAGCTATCGGCAAATAATACAGGAAACGAGTAGGTCATTTTGTCCTCCACTATTTGTCTCAACGGTGAATATATGATAAATCCGGGAGCGGATCGATTGTTTAAATCTAATGTACCTCAGCCACTGCGGCTACATAGAAAATCAATTTGACTTTATCTCAAAGAGAAAGGATTAAAGTTTGATTACTATATGCGTTTGTATGCAAGATGGCCTATCTAAGCCTGTTATTTGTCGGTGATGGGAATGTATTGGAAAAAGTTGCACAATGTTTACTGTTGATCTATAAATGTAATAAGCCTTTGTAAGCTCTTCGATTCTCAAGACAATAATTTGCTTTCAATTGTACCTAATTGGTAAATCGACAAATTATTGGTCAACTGTTATGTATGCTGATTCATCTGCTCTTCTCTATTGTCCGTATTCCGTACGTAGCAATTGTAATTTCCGAAAAAGAAAAAGTGATAATAAAAATACTTCGTTGCCATAAAACCGATAGGTTACAATTGGCAAAGCAAGTAAATACCACTTTCGTGCTTTCATTTTCAGCAGGGGGTTATGCCAAATTTGGAACCACATATTATCGTACCTTAACGATTGTTCTAGACTTTTTTTTTTTTGATACGGACTATTATCGCCATAATCCGAGTATCCGCTACATGCATGCCCACAACGCTCAAGGCATCATCCTTCCATAACGATAATGCTAAATATGCTATCTCGCTTACTTATCCTTGATAGATAAAACTAGGCTTTATCGAGCAAGCTTGTTGTGAATAAAATTAAGCCTAAAAGTAAAACTATTCGCATTTTAGTATATAACCTCGTTCGTACCTATACCAAAGAGCTGCAAATTTCATAGAAACATATGCATAACAATGGGTTGGCATGCTTAGCGACTGGGTACAAGTCGATGATGCTTGTATTAGTATTATGTCCGGAATTAAAAACCAGACGCTTCGAACAAATTACTTAATTAACAGTAGAACCTTTGTTCGAGAATGAGAACTGGGGACGGTTCGAAGAATGGTCATAAAAACACAAGTAAATGTACAAACTGTTAGCTAAACAAAAAGCCTTCTTACCAGTTTCATATAAATAGTAAAAAGAATATCGGCAAACATGACAGTACCGAAAATCAGTATACATGGTATGCTTAGCAAAGAACACGCGATATTTATTATTATCCACGGTGTAACACAATTGCTTATTCAAACTATTACTATATACTAAGTAAGATCTGGCGTAACAAATCTATTTTGATAATAAAGCATTGCAAATTGTTATATCTCTTCCCCCGAACACATGGACATGTTATTTGATAAAGCAATACTAAATGCAATAATATTAAATATGTTTATTATTATTATCATCAGAGGACGTATTGCATGCTCAGCACAAATCGTGAAGAAGTTGCGAAGGGATCTGTGTAGCTGAGGTACAATTAAGGATCTCTTGACAAATGATTGTTCTGGTGTTGACATCCATGGTATATACCCTTATTATGTTTGTAAACGGGTCAATTGATATCCCTTCCTAGATAAATGATATTCAATTAACAAAGAGATAAACAACAGCAAAATACTCATCATTATTGATCACTTGCCTCAGCTCCTCCCCTCATCTATAGATTCATCTTTTGGTCAACATCTAAGGCTGTGTCGTTTTCAGACCTTATTTCTATAATGAAATTAGGTGTTACTTTTGGATAATTTGATTCTCCAAGGTTGTCTGGGTGGTCGATTAGCTTGGAAAGCATTCCATCTACAATAATAAAATAAAAAGGTTAGAGGTTAAAAAGATCACACAAGCCATGCAAGCTGTCTATATTTTGTCACATTCCAACCTGGGACTAAGTACAACAGATGCATCAGGACCTAAAATGTTAAGCCACCCCTGCTGTTAGGCACCCTAAAAGCACCCTATAACCAACAAAAATAATAATTAAAAGATGCAAACATGAAACGCCAATATAATGGTTCCAAAGAACCATGGAGAGGATTATAATCTGTTGCATAATATACCTGGGAAGCACACAGTGTCCAAGTTGGCACGACATCATACATAAAGTTGTCCGATAATATCAAATTCTTTTGCATCTAAACAACATTTTTTTTATTAACGATTTCAACTGTCAAATAGTGGTCTAGCAAGTTACACAACTCTTTTCGTCGAGAACCGGCATTAATTCAAGTTGGCCTTCAATAAGGTTCATTCGAAAGTAAGGCTTTGCGTGAGCGATTTCTTCAAACAACTGTTCACTACAGTTAGGAACAATAAGCTTGCCGTGCCCGAGTCTTTCCAACACTTGCTCACTCGTGGGAACAATAACCTCGCCTCGCTGTCCGCGACTCTTCCAGACATTTTTTCAAAAAATGAATATGGATATTGTTTGTGCGATATTTATTTGAGTTTCAACTGACCTAACCCGCTTTCGCTTTGACTGTGAAAAGTGGAATAAAAATTTGGGTGGCCTTTCGATAATATCAATATCTTGCGCCAAGAAATTCACGTGGCTTGAAAAATGTCTGAATCTCGATATCTTGTTATTATTACTATTATTTCCAAAGCATTAAAAAATACCTGGATCTAGCACGACTGCATGGGTGGTGCACCAGTGGAAGTCAGCTCCAAAGCTTGCCCGAAGGCGATGACTACCCCTTATTCTCTCGTCCTGCTAGGTACTGCACTATCACTATTCACATTATATAGTTTCTTCCGTCGGATTTCTAGTAAGACGTGACGCTTGTGGAATTTCCTTATAGTGGCATTTCCAAGGCGTTCCCCAACTCTCTAATTTCTTCGACTCGGTGCGTTTTACTTCGAATAGGCGATCGAAATCTTGCCAGAGAATTTGAACATCGGCGGCGGTGTAATCTTGAGGCGTTCTATTAGACCCGGACCGTCGAGAACCGGAATTACTATCGCGACCGCCAACACCATTTTGATGTCGTGTACTTTGTAGTGCGGTCGAGATTGTTGATTTTTTGTAGCAATTCGGTATTAGCGCCTGAATTTCGCCGTGATCTTTTGATAGCAGATAATTCCGCAGTTATACAGTTTTCCACTCTTCGAGTATTTCGGTATAATACTAGCGATTGGATATGACGAGCACGAAAAAATCTGTACGTTTTATAGATCACCTGATCATAAGACATTTCGAAATTACACTGACAAACGAGGTTTGAATTGTTTGAAAACATTTCCATGGTGTAATATAATTTATGCAATTCACACTAACGAGTTATTAGATTTGTGTGCGTTTTGCGTTGTATTGTAAATTGTTCTAAGGACGAGCCTGTGAATATTATCTGCGAAATTGACGTGTTTATAGAGTTCATGATGGCACTTGAGCTACGAATGAATTGATATCTCGCTCATTTCTTTGTGTATAACTCCTAGAAAAGCCAATTCGTCGCTCCATTATGAATTCGCGCGCAAAACAAAACCTGTGTTGGGGGAATGCTTCAATGGATGAATTAACTATATTGTACACCCCGTATTAAATGAATTGAGGGTCGGGATCTAGTTCGACCATTAGTATGCGGAGACGATCAATATACTGATAATGAAACACACAATAACACGATTGACGTTTCCGGATCTGCGTTAGCGCAGAGTTTATTTAAAATCTTATTACCCATGTTATATAGTACATTTATTTCGTTTGTTATAATCAGCATGATACTACACTTTCATTTTGGCTTAGGAAAAAGGGTCAAATTAATTTTAGCGTGCGTGCATGCTGGACGATTTGAGTAACTTTCTCCAAAAAGTTTCCAACATGATGCTCACAGAATGTTGTAAAAGGTGATCGATCGATCATCTGATCAGATTATATGCTGCACAATAAAGAAACGCTTATTAAAATTAGAACAGCATAGCAATCTTTGTCGCCACTCTATATCTACATACATACGACTAATCGCGCAACTCACCAAAGTCCTCAACGGAACGGGTTTATCGACCACAACTGACGAAAGACGGCACATTTGCATGTATCGCTTAACAATATCTCTTCCAAAGTGCAAATACAAACAATCTTCTAACAACAAGATTCGAACTCACGTCTACAATACGTATACATCCGAACGCTTCTTTATATTGCGCGCATCGCCTCACAACATTTGCTCCTCCAAAGCCTTCCAACCTTAACAGAAACCCTAGCTTTTTGTACCATAACAGTGTTTTAAATGTTGTATTAGTATACCTTTGAGATGTGTATCATATTGATCAATTTGTACCACATAGATTATACATGGTTGGTATCACCTCGCCCAACGCATGCAAGAACGATCACGCAAATTCTGGAAAGTTCGACCCGATATGAAATTTTGTTTGTCTGATCGACAATATAAGAGGTTTTTGAACTAGTGTAAAACTCTGGCTTTTTTGTTGTTGAGAATTCGCTTTGCCTGTGAAAAAAAAATGAGTAACTGGAGGAACCCAAACAATTGGTAAATAGCGATTTATCCTCATGTATTGATTTCTCGTATGATCAGATCAACTGACATGTATTTCGTAAAAAAAATTATAGGCACTGGTATGGTATATAAAAGTCAATTCGTTTACGAATCTCACTACGTGCAAAACGACTAGCCCCATTCCGAACTGAAATGTCTTTTTGGCTTATAGGACATCGAAAAATTGTTTGAATTGGGCCAAAGACTATTTTGGCAGAGAACTCATAGGCGTCACGGTAGAACATGACGGCACAACCGTTAAGACTGACAAACTCGAGGATTGTAAGGGAGACGTTGACCTGAGTCAAAGGAAAGGCAGATTAATTACAATTTATGACGTCGCCTTGAACATTGAATATTCCGGTTAGTCTATCTTTTTGGTCTTGTTTTCTTTCCTCGTCACCGAAAGAAAATAACGAATAGATTTGGATCCGACGATTTTATTCAATAGGCACATCCGCTGCTGGAAATTATGTAAAGGGTAGAATTAAATTTCCCGAAGTAGCCCATGATACGGACCTAAAGGATCTTGCGGTATGTAGCGTTAACGCACCTTGGATCGTCAGCTCCATTATGGCTGATTTTCTTCTCTTTGTCATCTCTCTCCACTATTTCTTTAGTATACTATTACTGCAGACGAGGATATGGATGATTACGAAATAGTCAAAGAAGTCGCCCGCAATCATTTGATACCTGCGCTGAAGGAAAGGCTCGGCAAGTTTGCGCACGATCTTGTTGAAAGTATGTCTTTCAAATATTTGCGTGAAACGTATATATTGCCAGCGTCTTTTCATTTAGTTGAAATGATTATTATTGTTTCAAACAGCCCATAGACCAGACGTTTACATTGACCCTTCGCAAATGGGAGCGGTATCTACTCCGCGTCCAGTAACACCTATTGCATCATCATCTGATGTCACGAGTCAAAAACCAAGCCCTGCGTCTACTACCACAACGTCCTCTGCTTCTGCCAAAACACTTTTGAATACCAAGACAATTAAAGAAACTGTCGAATTCCAAACATCAGCTGATCAGTTATACGAGACATTGTTAGATCCAGGCAGAGTCGCCGCTTGGACAAGGGCCCGACCAGACATTTTCAAGACCGTTGGCAGTCATTACAATTTATTTGATGGAAACATCACTGGAGTTATGCTCGAATTGGTATGTCATGTCACGTAATGACTATGTATATCCACACAATACACACTTCCTTGCATCCTCGTTCCAGAGAGGGAATAATCTTAAAGCTAAATTGTTTTATTTCAGATTCCAAATGAAAAGATAACGCAGACGTGGCGTCTAAAGTCTTGGCCGGAAGGTAAAATCAATGTAACGATAATAAATACGACAGTTCCGTTATTGTCCTGTCTATTACGCTAACTAATTTACACCATCATTTTTCTTGTACGCATTAGGTCATTACTCTAACGTCACTATGACATTCGAACAAACGTCCGATAGTACCAAACTACATCTTACTCAAACCGGAGTCCCTATAGGCGAGGTCGATGTTGTCCGCAACAACTGGCAAACGTTCTACTGGAATCCAATCAAAAGCGTCTTCGGGTATGGATCAATATCCTCGTCGTCATCATCATCATCAGCTAAAACAACGCATCGTAGTAGTGGTGGCGGTGGTGGTAGTAGTGGTAGTAATAGAAAGAAAAAGAAGTCTCAAAGGGGCAAGAAAGGATCGAGCGGTAACGGTTTGGGTATTGGGATTGCAACTGCAATAGTACTGACAACTGCTATTGTCTTGGGGTTTATTTTTGCTTCTCGATCTTCGTAGATATGGTGCACTTTTATGATCAGTAATAGGGGTCGCGGAAATGACCGATTGGGCTTGGAGGGAAAAGTGCTGAAAATGGAAAAGAAAATATAGAGATAGGGAAAAGAAATGGAGAATGAGACATAGATGAACATCGACGGAAAGCTGAAGAATGGAGAGTTGATGATGCCTGGCAAAAGAAAGAGAGAGAGAAAGAGCTGGGAACTCGGAAAAGGCTGTTGATGCAGACTCTAATAATTAAGTGTGTGGTTAATTATTTATCACCCAAACTTAGCACGGATGATATTATTTCCAGAAAAAAACTTTTTTTTTTTCGAGGTTTTGAATCTGAACTTTTTTTTAATACAAGACAATGGTTCACATAATATAAAAATGACGATGATTGTTATCTGTCAACACCATTGTCCGTCCGCAAGCATTTTCACAATATGCCATGAACAGTCAGTGCGTTACCCAAACCAACCAGTTTATTCTTCTCCAGATTTTCTTCACAAATCTGCCAACTCAAGAAAGGGAAGGCCTTCAATTCCATGAAAATTAAGATTGTGGGAAATTGATTGGTTTGTGTACTTCCATAAACGACGTCAGTTTTAGCGCTCCTAATATAGTAGTGACCTTTGAAACCAGGCTTTTACTACTTACCGCTCGGCGTTAGTTAACCCATCTCTACCGATTGGTAGGTTGGGGTCTAGCAGTCGTTCTAAACAACGTGTTCTCAAATAAATAGAAAAATATGCCGAGGGTCATAATCCCAAGAGCACTCTCATGCGAATACTCCAAATTGATATTTATGTAGGGATTGCTATGCCACACCAAAGGAATGCATTAAGTATGGTGTTCAAAGTATAAACTTAAAGAGAATGCGAACACGCTGACGGTAGCGGAAATCCAATCTCTTGTATATCTAAATTGCCATTTTTATCGTTCTCCACTCTCTAATTTTAATCATCACATGACCCAATTCTTGTATCATCAACTAGGAACCGTTTAAAGAAAAAAAAACGGGAAAAAAACTGCCTATATCGATATGTTTGAAATTAAGCATGCAAAATGTCTGGATAAAAAAAATCACTTGTGAAATTCGTCAAAAAAAACCAATAATAACTAGATGCTGGTGAGAATTTGTCAAAATCGGTAATGGTTGTGGACATATTAGAACGAATGTTCACATTTTGCGTTCTCCTTCAAGGAATAACTCTATCCTAAGTGCTTGGATAATTTATTGGACTTTGGTTTTATTTTGCAATTAAGCTCTGAATAATGTCATACATGATACTCGGTCGACATGCGCGCGTGCGCTATTAACGGCGCGGCATCATCGAGTAGAGATACGTTCAATGAAACTTAAGTCTGTATATTTACATTTATTCCCATATGTCAATGGCCTGGCATTTGTGATTCTGTTACTCCCGCGCGGATTAAGTGAAGTTTAAACACATTACTTGTGTAGGAAACCACGCGATCGATCAAATTATTCGTCAGTGTCGTGCAACATATTGTTATCTCCTTTCTCTATTCGCTTATAGTCAGTGCTCTCTATAAAAGCTTTTTGGAAAGACGAAGGCTTAGTATAAGGAACGCCAACTGTATGTTTCCACAATAATTGTCGAGATATTTTATCTTGCCCTGATTTAAAACTATAGCGATCCGCCTATTACAGCTAGATATTACTTTAGCTTCTGTTCGCTAACAATCACGCGCAAGAATAAAACTGTTATTAGAACAATGAAAAGTTATACACTTTGCTAAGTCTTGACACGAATAATAAATGTGCTCGCAATTTAAATAAGTTCATAAAGAAAAAAACTGTAGAATACCAAGTGCAGTAGAATTTAAATGTGATAAACATTTATTTAATGAAGTGTTTATAAACAGCGATACGTATATTGAATATTATTATAAT